TGTGAGCAGCGCCCAGCCTGTCCCGAACATGAGCCAGGCTTCTTGCCACAGGTCCATTTAGTGGCTGCTTGTCTCCGAAAACCTTGTCGCTGTAAAACAAGCAACGCGTCTCCTCACAGTGGAGTCATTCAACCCAAAGGGAAAGCACAACACGCTGACAGAGCGCTGCAAACAACCAGAAAGCCTCCAAATTGCCCGAAGCCCCTTTTCCACACCTAACCCACATGGTGAGCCCCAGTCCTCAGAGGGTCCCTGGGTGCCACCACCCCAAATCTCTCCCTGCGGTGAGCGCGGGCTGCCCCTGTGCCACTCCCCGGGGTTTATAACCGCCGGGCAGCCGGCGGCTGCTGCTTGTGCAACCGTGGTGCAAAGGTCGGGATCCACACGGGCACAGCAACCCTCGTAAGCCGAGGGCTGCTGCTGCAGATGCTGCACGGCAAGTTGGGGAGCGCGTGCTGCAACTGCACCCAGCACCACAACGATCCCCACCACGTCCCAGTGCCAACCCAGAGGCGTTTTGGGCAGCCGAGTTAAGGAACACAACAGCTCCAAGTGCCAGCTGTGACATTCGCCGTCCTTCAGACACGCACCTACGTGGGACGTGGCATCTCCACGCGAAAAGCTGCTCGGCCTCCAGCCTGCCCTGCTCCATGGATCAGCCAGGGAGCGCGAGCAGTCGTCTTACCGGAGGGAAAAAAGGTGCCCGCATCACCACACATTGCCTGGGAGCGCGGCGGAGCTGTTAGAACAAGAGGTTGATAACACTCACGGTGTGTATTTAACTCAGCTGACCCTCTCCACTTTATCTAAACAGCCTGCAAGTACATCCATCTTCTGGCGCAGACAAGCCTGGAGCGTTCGCAGCAATTTCCCCACTCCAAACGAGGGCTTGGAGCGTTCAGTGTAATTAAAAGGACTGCATTTTGACCCAAGAGCACATCTGCATTTCAGAGAAGCAAACGAAGGCACCAGGGCTGCACGAGCTACCCGTGTCGGTGCGTCTCAGCCACCCGGCTCGGCGTGCAGGAGCGGATTTCTGATGCGGGTATGTGAAAGGAAAAGCAAATTTGGCTACAGAGAGGTGAGGGGCACAATCCTGGACAGCGGGGCCATACGGCGATGGTGTCACTCAGAAACGGGCTCACACCTCCTCCCTCCTCCCTGCTGTAAACAAGGCGCTCGGGGAACAGGACCAGCCGCATTGCCAGCCCGAACACACCAGCGAGGGGTTTCCTTGGGAGATATCGAAAAAAAAAGGGAGGGGAAAAGCCCTAACAAAGGTGTGAGGGCTGCGAAAAGGAGCCATGGACACGGCACCGCACTGCAAGCGCCCCGGCAAGGGGCTGTGCCCCCACCTGCTGGCTCAGCACCCAGCACAGCCGCCCCCCGAGCAGCTGCCGGGGTTCAAGAGCCACGGCACAAGTGATGGAAACGGCTCAAAAAGGGTGAGCGTGCCCCGGGAGGTTGCCTTGTGGGGTGCCCAGCTGCATGCCTGCCCCCAAAATTCACCCAGCGGCTGTCCCTGCCGCGGGAAGCCACGCACGGGGACAGCAGCCCCTGCCGGCACCCTAACCCCGAGGTCGGGACCCCAGCACGCGGCACTGTCCCAGTTACACCAGTCTGCAGCCACCGGCAGCGCCCAGCTGAGCCCCCCAGGGATGCCAGCACCGAGCCTCGGACCCCGCTGCAGCCTCACCTCCCACCCGCGGGCTGCAGACCCCAGGGGCTCCGCTCCCAGCCCCTCCTCCTCGTGCCCTCAGCCCCACAGGCAGCACCGTCCCCTATTCCCATCCCCTTCGCCCCTTCCCCCCAGCCCGTATCCGCGTCCCACAGGGCTCCAGCCCACGCTGCTGGGACGTCCCCTATCCCACAGCCTCCCACCCACACGCTCCATCCCATGAGTGCATCCCAAACCCACAGCCCCTACAGCTCCTTCCCATCCCACAACCCTGCCTTGAGCCCCCAGCACCCCATACCCTTAGCCCCAGTCCCACATCCCCAACCCCGGGGTCCTACAACCCCACAAAGCCTGGCTGATGCCTTCCAGCCCCACACCTCCTGCCCCAGGGGTACCTCACAGCCCCACAACACCCCAAAACCCACACTTCTTACCTCCCTCCCCAAATCTCCCGCTGCACAGCCCTTCAGATCTCCCAGCCCCATAAAGTACCCCCAGTGCTGTGCCCCTAAAGCTGTCCCCAGTATGCACACCCCTATTCCTTCTCCATGACCCTACAGCACCCCTGTAACTCTAAATCCCCACAGCCCTCCCATGGCCCTACAGTAGCCCCACATCCCCCATAACTCTAAGCCCCCAACAGCCCTCACTACCTCGCTCCCAGACCTGGAGCCCCCCATCCCACAGCCCTTCCCGTACCCTCTCACCCCTCACCCAAAGCCCCCTACAACTCCTCCACCCCCTGGCCCTAAAAACGCTTCCCGTCCGCCCCAAACCCACTGCCCCTTACCTGAGGTTCCCCTCCCCATATCCCCAACTCCTGAGCCCAACGCCCCCAAGGTCTCACCAATCCCACACTGACCCCAGAACCCCCCACAACCCTCCAGAGCCCCCTATAGATGACCACAGCCCTACAGATCCCCCCACAACACCCTAAAGTCCCCTATAGCCGACCACGAACCCCAGAACCCCTTAGAGCTGACCACCAACCCGTAGAGCCCCCACCAAGCCCCATAGCCCCCCACAGCCCCCTATAGCCAACCACAGCCCCACAGAGCCCCCACAACACCCTATAACCTCCTACAGCCTGCCCACAGCCCCCAGAACCCCCTAGAGCCGACCACCGACCCCTAGAGCCCCCACAACACCTCAGAGCCCCCACACAGACCCCACAACACCTTATAGCCAGCCCACAGCCCCCCAGAGCCCCCCACAACCCCATAGAGCCCCCTAGGATCCCCTATAGCCCCCCAGAGCCCCCTAGAATCCCCTCACACCGACCCCACAGCCCCCACACGGACCCTTAATGCCCCCAAACATCCCCCCCTAGCCCCTCAGAGCCCCCCAGCCCCTCACCTCAGCAGGCTGGACAGGGGGTGCCCCACTCCTCCTCCTCCTCCTCCTCCTCCTCCGCCACCCCCGGAACCTCCACCGCCAGCACCGCCACCGCTGCCACCTCCTCCTGCTCCTCCGCCACCTCCTCCTCCTCCTCCCCCGAGCCGAAGCCGGAGCTGAGGCGCTTCCCCGACAGCAGCTTCTCCACGGCGGGCAGGTTCCCGGTGCGGGCGGCCTCCAGCAGCTCCTGCTCCTTCCCCATCGCCCGGCACGGCCCGGCCCGGCCGCCGCCTGCCCCCCCCCCCCCTCCCCGCGGCCCTTCCGGGGCGGGGCCGGGCCGGGGGCGGGGCTGAGGGGCTGAGGGGAGGCCCCGCCCCCGCCGCCAGGTGCTGCTTTCATTTTTTGTTATTTTTTTTTGTCGTTTTTTGGAAAATCCTGGGAAAGTCCCCCCAGGGTCACCTGCTCCAAGCACCCCCCCCCCCCCACTGTCCCCACCGAGCCGTGTCCCCAAGCACCAGCCCCAACCTCTCCTGGAGCCCCCCCAGGGACGGGGACTCCCCCACCTCCCTGGGCAACCCGTCCCAACGCCTGCCCGCTCTGTCTGAGCAGAAATGGCTCCTCATTGCCCACCTCAACCTCCCCTGGCACAGCTCCAGGCCGTTCCCTCTGCTCCTGGCCCTGGGTATCTGCGAGCAGAGGCCGACCCCCAGCTCCCCACACCTCTCAGGGAGCTGCAGAGAGCAATGAGCTCTGCCCTGAGCCTCCCCGTCCCCAGCCCAAACCCCCCCCAGTTCCCTCAGCCTCTCCTCACAGGACTTGTGTCCCAGGCCCTTCCCCAGCCTCATAGCCCTGCCCTGGACACACTCCAGGGCCCCAATGTTCTCCTTTTACTGAGGGTCCCCAAATCGAACCCAGCACTCAAGGTGCAGCCTCACCAGAGCAGAGTACAGGGGCCGATCACCTCCCCGCTCCTGCTGGTTACACCATTCCCCACACAAGCCAGGATGCTGCTGGGGTCCATTTTGTGCATTAATGCAAAGCAAGGGTGAAAATGTAGTGGGGCAGGTCCTGGGGCTCTGAGCACCACAGGGGGTGGCTGAGGGGCCATGAGCCAAGAGGACCCTGCTGGGGCATGGAGCCCCCCAGGGGCTTTGTCCTGGGACCATGCAGCTGTGAACCACCTGGGGGCCCGCTGCTGTGCTGGGAGGTGACCGAGCACAGCCAGAGGGGCTCAGAGGGCACTTCTTGCCCAGGGGGACCATGGAGCACTGCCATGGGTAGCCCAGGGAGGCTGCGAACCTCCTCCTCTGACACCCACCCTGCAGCAGGGCTCAGAGCAGGGATCCTGGAGGGTCCCCGGCCGTGCTGTGACCCTGGGGGTATCAGTGTGACACTGGGGGGGTGGGCACTGTGTGTTGCCCACACTCACAGGGGCAGGGGCTGCCCCCCAACAAGTACCAAGAAGGACATCAAGGCCCTGCAGCGTGTCCAGAGCAGGGCTATGAGGCTGGGGAAGGGCCTGGGGCACAAGTCCTGTGAGGAGAGGCTGAGGGAACTGGGGGGGTTTGGGCTGGGGAAGGGGAGGCTCAGGGCAGAGCTCATTGCTCTGGGACCAGAGGGAACGGCCTGGAGCTGTGCCAGGGGAGGTTGAGGTGGGCAATGAGGAGCCATTTCTGCTCAGACAGAGCGGGCAGGCGTTGGGACGGGTTGCCCAGGGAGGTGGGGGAGTCCCCGTCCCTGGGGGGGCTCCAGGAGAGGTTGGGGCTGGTGCTTGGGGACACGGCTCGGTGGGGACAGTGGTGGGGGGGTGCTTGGAGCAGGTGACCCTGGGGGGCTTCTCCACCCCTGCCAATTCTATGAAAAGAGCCCAAAGTCTCCCCTGTCCCCCAGCCCGGCCTCCGGCCTCGTTGCCGTGGCGACAGCGCCCCCCCCCCCCCCCCCCCCCTCCCCGGCCTCCTCCTCCTCCTCCTCCTCCTCCCCGCAGCTCCGTCATCGGCAGGCGCCGGCGCGGAGGCCATGGCGGAGGCGGGCGAGCAGGGCCGGGAGGAGGCCGCGGCCCCCAGCCGCGAGGAGCCCGCGCCCGCAGCCTCGTCCCCGGCCGGGGATGGGCCGGAGGCCGCGGAGGACCCGGCGGTGGCGGCGGAGGGCGAGGGGGGAGAGGCCGGCGGGGCCGGGGAGCACAAGGCGGAGGCGCTGGACGGGGAGGTGAGGAGCAACGAGGGGGAGGCCGTGGACGGGGAGGACCCGAGCCTGCAGCCCTCGGCGGCCAAGAAGGTGAAGCTGGAGCTGAAGGAGCGGAAGGAAAAGAAGCACAAAGTGGACGAGGACGAGATCCAGAAGATGCAGTGAGTGCACCCGGGGGGCTCCGTGGTGCGGGGACTGGGAGCGGAGGCTGTGTGAGGACAGGGCTCCGTTCCCTCCCCGGCTCCGTTTTGTATTGCTGGAGGCTTAGGAGGGCTGAAAGAGCTCCAGAGTGTGTTTTCCTGACAGTGATTAATTCTCTCCGCTCCAGAATACTGGTCTCTTCCTTTTCCGAAGAACAGCTGAATCGCTACGAGATGTATCGCCGCTCTGCCTTCCCCAAAGCTGCCATTAAACGGGTACGGCTTCGAGAACGCTTCGCCACGGGAAAAACCTGAGCAAAACAAAAGGGCTGAGCCCTGCAGAGCCCGGCCCCGGTCACAGCCAGGATCACGCAGGGGGCTCCTTGGCTTGTGCAGGCTGCGGGTGCACCCTCCTCTCCCGCTACATCTCAGCCTGTGTGTCCGGGAGCGTTGTCCTTAAATCTGCTTTTATCTGATTACATCCTAGCTCAGTGCTCTCATGTGGCTTATGCAGTTTAAATAGGAGCTTATCTGAAATGAAAGTGGTTTGGGGGGGCCATGAGGCACTAGGAAAAAGTTAGTACAGGTTTGCAGCTAGGTAAGGGTGTGCTAAAAATATTGATAGCCAGCATGTGCCCAAAGCTATTAGACCTTGCTCTAAAGATTAATTACTGCTGTTCCAGCTCACTTTGGTAGCTAATGGTTGACTACTGGACGGGCTCAACTGCTAAAGATGATTTTAAACATGTCAATGCTGCTGTGTGTATGTTGTTCAACTGACTGCTGCTTCTTGGCTTGTCCAGCTGATCCAGTCCATCACCGGCACCTCGGTCTCTCAGAACGTGGTTATCGCCATGTCGGGCATTTCCAAGGTCTTCGTTGGAGAGGTGGTGGAAGAAGGTAGGTGCAATATGTTATTGGTGAGTAAAAAGAATGCAGTGAAAATCCAGTGCTTAAAGGAGAGCAGAAAGACAAGAAACGACTGGACATTTTGTGGCTTTCTGTCCAGCTCTCTTGCTTCACTTGCTATCCTGCCGGGCTCTGGTGCTTTCAGCAGTAGTAGAAGGCTGCTGTTAAGAATGGAAGGGAAGTGTGGTGGTGTCCATAGTCCACTTTAATCCTATTAATATGAGTGCCTGTCAGTCAGCAGAGATGGGTGACTACTGGCCTTTTTTTTTTTTTCTATCTTCTCTGGAGAAGGTAACTTAGGAGCTCTTGCTACATGTCAGCCTGTGAGCAGGCTGCAGCAGGGTAATAAAGATCTCTCATTAATACTGCTGTGCACAAATTCAGCTTAGAAGAGCAACGCGTGATTTAAGCCTCTTAACCTGCAAGATTCTTTGTTGATGCGATGAGCTGAGATCTCCTTGGGACACCCTGTGAAGGCTGACCCAGCTGCGTACCTGTCTGTGCTCTGCTTGTGCCTTGGGGAGGAGAGGGTTCTCGTTTCTCAGGCCAAGCAGTTAGCGCAGACTTACTTGCACAAAACACGCAGCCTGCATGATGTGGCTTTGGCACTTTTGCTGTTTCTGACCATCTCTCCAGCTCTGTGTGTTGCCAAAGACAGCCTAGAGAAGCAGTTTCACTGCTGCAGTACATTGCTGCATGTCCTTGGCAGGAGACATGACTGAGACTTACCAGAACGGACAGAAAAGAAACTGATCTTTGAGTCTGTTGTAGGCTGTACCTTCCCATCACTGCTGTGCACATAGCACCCAATCTAGGGATGGTTTTAAAGTAGCAGGTTTAAGATCATGAGGTCGTGTTGAGTTTGTGCGTGACTTAAAGTAGCTTATTCCACAGCAGCTGGAGTATCTTTAAAAAGAAGGTTAAATGGTATTAATGCCTCTCGGACTGACTTTTATTTTAGTCAGAGAAACAGAGAAAGCAGTTTTGTTCTTGTGTATTAATGTGAGCTGTAAAGCCCGAACAAAAATGTTATCTGCTGCCTTTATAACTGAAGCTCAACCAGTAGTAGGCTTCTCAAATGTCACCTGTTAGGAGACCGGCTAAGCTTATCTGTCCTGCTCACGTGAACTCTTGTTTTTTGTTTAGCTCTGGATGTGTGTGAAAAGTGGGGGGAGCTGCCCCCTCTGCAGCCTAAACACATGCGAGAGGCTGTCAGGAGGCTGAAGTCACGAGGACAGATCCCAAATTCCAAATATAAAAAGATCATCTTCCACTGAAGCATCCCAAGAGCAGCAGGAGAAGCCAGATGTTAGAAGAAGCTTCCAGCTGTGCTCCTCACAGCAGCTGCAGCAGAGCCACGAGACTGAAGCGCTCCCAGCCTCTTGCTGCCTGCAGTCTTCTCTAAGAACCTGCACCAAAACGCTCTCAGTTCAACTTGATTTTAAGTAACTTTAGCATCAAGGTTTGTGGGGCTTGTTTGCAGTTTACAAACAGCCATTAATGCTCCCAACACGGCTCATGGGGTAAAAGAAGTGCTACAGCTGAAGTTCATCGGGTGCAGTTACCCCATCAGCCTTATCCTGGCGTGAGAGGCTCCCCTTCCAGGAGCCCAAAAGCAGCAGGTTGTGCACAGGCTCTTGTTTAAGGAACCCCAGGCAGGCTTCCTGCAGTGACTGCTGAAGGCTGGCTTGTCATCTTAGTGCCGTGCAGGAGCCAAATCCCCGACCGGGTGCCTCAGGGTCTTTTGGCCCAGCAGCCTGGGGAAACGAACATTCAGCTTCTTCAGCGTACTTACCCCCCAGGACCATACCTTCTGCTGGCACAGACGTGGCGGTATCTCTGTACAGAAGTGGTTTTTTTTGTACATTAAACTTGTTGTTATATTCTTAGTCTTGCTGGGACAGCAAGTAGTAATTGTGCAATGGTGTTTTTGTGATTCAAAGTAGGGAGAGCGCACTGTGATCTGTCTCAACCAACCCCAACATGTTCACGAAGCTTCATGCCTCCGGCATGCAGTGTTCCATTAGCACATGCTGAAAGCTGATGCTTCTTAAGTCAGCGCTCAGCTGTTCTGCCCAAAGCCACTTTTATGGAGCTGTCTAGAGAACAGTACAGTCAGGAACATGAAGAGGGAGGAAAAGTGAAAAAAAAAAAAAAAAACCCATGAGCCTGTAAGGAGGTTAACAAGTTTAATTTCGTGGTTCATAGAACCAATAAATGCATGAGTGGAAATATACTGCAACAAAGTTCCAATACTGCCTAAAATTCAAGTTCAGACTTGTACATTACCCACCTGTACACAGAGTATTCCCCTTGGAGCACACTTCTAACTAATGTAAAAGATGCTGAGGCCATGTGCTCTTCCTCGGGTAACTGGAGTAGAGTTACACCAAGGATTAAGTTGGCTCTCATCATAACAGAGTCCTTAAATACAAGACTCTAAAAAGTAAACTTTGCTAATCATCATCAGTGGAGTTTTTGTCCTCCCATAGGCCTTATAGCAAGGAAGAGGATTTTGTTTTACAGTACTTTTTTACTGGTACTTAAAACAGAAAACAAGGGAAGTGCTTGAATTCTTACACAGAACTGGTTGACTTGAGATGCTGGAGCAAGAAACTGAAGAACTTGGCCCCAGCTCTCACCAGCCTGCACCCACAGGAGTGTAAGTGGTTCTATGACACTGCGAGTAGGCACCACATCTGAGAAAACCCTTTTTACCCTACCTATTTCCTAAGCTGGCTGGAGATGAAGCTTGACCCCTACTCAACCAAAAAGTCATGAGATGTGAAAAAAAGAAACCTCCCATTTTCAACCAATTAGTGACTAAAAAGTAATACCATTGCATTCCACCTAAGGCAAGCATTCTTGGATTTCTTGCTTCACACAGAAAGGGGGAGCAAGCACAGAAGCACAAAGGTTTGACTAAATAAAGTTCAAGTTCTGCTTATGTGGGCTTTGTGCAGTTCATAATGGTACTTTGAGCTCTTTGCATACAGGTTTTCACAGCATGGCTGTAGATACACGGATGCTTTGTTACCTCCTTGCTCTCAGCTCTGAGAGCTCCTCACAGCATCTCAGTTTAGTGCAGCAGGTAACTTGCACTTCTGAGCCTCTGCTTTTACTTCTGAATTCTATGCACGAGGCAGTATTGGTGAAAGAAATGCCCACTGATGCTTAGAAAGTTAAAGTGCATTTTCCTCTCGAGAACAGGCCTGACAGGCCGCTCTGGGACATTTCCCATCACAGGCAGCAACACAAATCCAGTGTGACAGAGGCTGCACCGAGCAGGAGATGGGTCACAGAACGTGCTCCAGAGAGAACAGCCAGGCTGTCTAACAGGACCGAGCAGGAGCGGTCCCCTCCAGGGGAGGAGGGAAAGCAAACTTGCAAAAGGCACAGCAGCATCCAAACTTCACATCCAGCCCAGGCAGAGCGGGTGGGGAGCACGAGCACCCCACGCATCACAGCAGAGCCTTTGGCTCCTGTGCTTCTGCCAAAGGCAAACCCTCCTCCTCTTAATTCACTCATGGCCACCTCCTTCCAGGGTTTCTGGGAGGAAGGCCAGGCTTTTGCTGCCAGTCACATCTGGTTGTAGGCACGGGTCAGTCAGATCTTGGCAGACAAGGACGGCAGAAGCACTGGACTCCAGCAGCACTGGTCTGCCCCGAGGCTGTTCAAACCTAGCAGACAAGGACTGAACTCCAACAAACATCATTTGAGGCTACCTTCAGTCTAACGGAGTCACACACTGAACGAGGAGGATGATCTGAACAGGGACGTGGTTTCAATCGCCCTCTGTCTCTTACCTGCTCTCTTTTAAGTGTGAAAGCTAACGACCGCAAGGAATTCACTCTTGGTTCCCTGCAGACCACAGGCAGCAGTGCCTCCACACCTCACCCAGCACGGTAAATACGTCCCTGTTCCCCTAGGGCTAAAGAAGAACTAAAATGATCTCAGGAGTGTCTGTTAAAGGGAACTGCTCAACAGCTCCAGAGTTAGGCAAAGGGACAAGTATGTAACAGGTGGGGAAACCAAACCTAACTCCTAAATCATTTGCTTTCTTTTGCATAGCTCCCAGTCCTCAGCTGATCATGGCTTGTCAGTCAGAGGCTGTTCCATTGCAGTGAGCAGGATTAAAACCTTACGTTACTTTAGCTGAACTAATGGAGTAATGCTTACACAGAAAAAAATAGAAAAATCCATTAGAATAAAGTTTTGTGTAGTGTGTTCATCTTTTAAAAAGAGGGGGTTACTCAACTTTTCTAGACAAATTGTTTTCATCTGATTAATAAAGGAGAATCCCAAGGGATCTGTCACCTCTGCTAGCATGGCAATCTGTTTGACATGCACTAAGAAGCATGTGCATTGGAAATCGTGCCTCCACACAAACACCAAGGTTATCTGGAAAAATCCAAATCAAAGTTTGAAACACGATAAAATCAAACAAACTCTGCACACAGTAAAGATGATAAGGATAACAGGGGAAGGAATGGGCATCCATCCATAATGTAGATGGGCTGGAAGTTTCACCATTCCATGTTAGAACAGGACAAATTCTCCTCTGTAACAGCTTATCCCTTCATGACTGCCCTTTTCAGCTGCTTCTTCGCTCAGTGCACAGACCACGTACTACCTGGACTGGTAGAGCAAAAATACCATGCACCAGTTTGCCTCTTGGAGTGGATTTGATTCTCACTTCATAAATGACATTTCCTTTTTTAAAACTAGTGCTCATTTCCTGTTTTTCTAGTGTTTTCCTTTTTTCTTCCCTCCACACTTTTGAATGCAGTTTCTTTACAAATGAGATCGCAGAGACTTCTCCAAGGAAGCTGCTTCACGAAAGGTGAGAACACAAATGATGCTCAACAAATAGCTACTGTTTCGTCTCCATCCCACAGCGAGCAGTTCATAGCGTCTGCCTCCACCCAGAGGGACCTGGCCAGCACCCTTCTCCTGACCCACACACCAGCATCCCTGCTCAAAGACATTTAAGACTGGGTATGAGCTCAGTGCTATTAAAAATACATGACCCTGTAGGAGCACAGACAGCTATCTCTGCAGCCAGTACTGCTTTCCTCTCTCCACTGGTGAAAATCTAGCACAGAATGGTTTGAGGACGACACACATGCCAAATGAAATGCATAGGGCTTCTCATTCCATGACTTAGCCAGCTTCCTTCACCCCGATTCTTTGACTGTAAAATTAAAGAGAGATTAAGCAGTGCTTTGTAATGAAATAGTGATTTCCTCCGTGCTTCTGCATCAATGAAGCCAAATATTGCAGGATTGAGAATGAACTAGACCAAGTCTAATATGCTCCTGATTCTGTCATGACGTGACAAATTACTGGTGGAAAAAGAGAACTGAAGAAATTTCTTTACTATTCTGGCCCTGCTCTTGAGGGGATGCTGAGCTGTAGCCCCCTGCCTCCCCTGTAGCCCCCTTTCCTCCACAAGGAGGAAATCCCCTCTGCATCTCCCACACCTGCTGACCTAGGTCTCTGTCTCTGCCAACACACGAGCTTTCACATCAGAGCTCTGAGAGATGTTTTCTGCCATACCTATTCCCTGTCACTCCTCGATGGGGTGAAGTCAGCTGTCCTCCTTTTGCTGTGTTCTTTAGCACGCGTGAGCGGGCAAGAACACCAAGAGGAAGGGCGAAAGAAGCAGAAGCCCTACACCAACCACCTCTAGATGGGAGGTGAGGGCTGAAAGCAAGCTGTCACTACCACTGTGTGGACGGAGAGACGTGGGGTCCCCGCACCAGCTTCTGACCTCGTTTGTAGACCGAGCGCTGCCCTGGGTCAGTGACAGATGGTAGCACCATATTGCCAGGACAGAGGAAAGGGGCAGCAAGCGGTAAATCCCCCTGGCTCCTTCGGTGTTGCTCAGCCATGCTTTTCGTCCTTTCTCCCGGTTTCAAGTGTATTTTGCAGTCACAGTTGGTTTCCATTCTCTGAGATGATCAGTCTGCAGGAGGTTGACCCGTTTAGCAGCAAGGTAATCAAACCAGCCGCCTTAGTGCTGGTGGTGGGTTCACTCCTCCTGAGCAGCTGCAGCCTGCACCTTCGCTGTCAGAGCTGGAAGAGGGGATTGTATTTCCTAATTTCCTGCAGAAGGCGAGCCTTGTCCATGTTGGCTTCTGCAAGGGCTATTTTCATGGTCTGAAGTTCCCTTTGCAACTCTGGCAGGTCCTTTAGCTACAGGAGACAAACAGAAAAAAACAAACCAGGAGTTCCCAGAAGTAAGCAGCAGGACAGATCCAGCTACACTGATCTGCTCGAAGAGGAATACCAAAGCAGGAGCTTTGCAGATGAGATAAACTGCATGGTACAACCACACAAAGCTCGCCAACAAGGTGACCCAGGCTGACTTACAGAAGGACTTGCTAACTGCTGCCTGCAGACTTCTATACCTGTCACTGGCGTCAGCTCAGGCTATCTAATGACTCAGGCTGCCAGCAATGGCTACCTAATGACTTTTTCCAGGACTTCCCTTCACACTTCTAGCCATAGGAACAAGACTTGCAGTGGGCAAGGTTTTTTCTTGCTAAGCAGCTCACTGACTGGGGATGAAAGTGACTATACAAAGAAAGCAGAGTGAAAACAGGGCTCTGGTCTGCATTCTTTGTTTTACATGGGGGCCTGATACACCTATTCAGGTTTGTTTAATTTAAAATGATAGCTGGAGCATGCAGATGCTTGGCATTCCTGCTTCCTGCCTCCATGAACAAAGGTAATTCTGTCCTCACACACTGCCAGAGCAGCTTCATGCTACAGGACAGGGTTTTCCTTGGCAACTCTCAGAAATATTTTTACTTAAGAGTTTAGCCTTTGCATTTGGTCCTATGAAGTTCAAAAATATCAGAAAATAAACTGATGCTAAGCTACTGTAATGACTACTTGCTCCAGT